GATTGAAGCACTGCCGCCCGCAGACGGGCTAGGTCCACGGCCGTCCAGCCAGCATGTCCATCGCAGCGCCCTCCGTCGCAGCACCCCTCGCAGCACCCTCCGTCGCAGCACCCTCCGTCGCAGCACCCTCCGTCGCAGCACCCTCCGTCGCAGCACCTCCATCGCAACACATCGTTCTCTCCACCGCTCCGCTACTTTCCCAACGTCCAGTGCGTCCTCGGCTCCCCCCTCGCAAGTTCCAATCCCATGCCATTCCGATGATCTGTTGCTCCACTACCCTCCCCGTCTCCGCTCTCGCTCTCCGCCCAAGTCGGATTTGCCTAACTCGTCGCCTCCTTCTTCCACGCCTTCGGGCCCTCGTCCGCATTCTCCTGACCCGCTCATCGCCCATCTATCCGATCTGCCGTCTCTGACGACGCAGAAGACGACGCAGCCGACGAGGACGATCCGGCACCGGTCGTCTTACCTGGCGTCGACACGGTGGTCACGCCTGACTTCCAACGCTGGGGATTGTCGTCAACACCACCCACGACGTCGTAATCTGCGTTAGCTGCCACAAAACCATCCTCAGAGGTTCCGTCTTCACGCACCTGAAGTCCCACGGAATCTTTGACATCCATGCGCGAGATGTCACCGAGGCCTTGCATCCGTACCATACGAAAAGTGCCCGCGCCGCCATCGTCCCTGTCATTCCCGCAGGCGCCTCTACCATCCTGCGGTCTTCGGCCTCAACGTCCTCGAGGACTGTGCTTTCTGTTCCGTTTGCCATCGAGGGTATGGCTCTGTCGAGTCTCTGAGGAAGAACCATTTCGCCGTCTCGAAATGCAACCCTAGTCGTCACTTTCACGAAGGCCCTGGCCAAACGTTTTTCACCAACAACTGTCGCCGAGTCTTCCCAGTCGTTCTTCCCGATCCTGTCCCTGCAACGTCCTCAATCAGTCTCTTCGATTCCTTTCTACGCACCATGGAACCTTCCGATCCGCTCTGGAAGCGCTTTCCGAGCCTGCTAATAACCGTTCCCTCAGCCGCTTTCTTGCCGCGAACGATGGGTCGACGTTATCCGTAAATTCTCGGTCGATTACCTTCATCAGCTCATCGACGAGGAGCCGCCCCATCCCTTCCTTGAGCCCATACGCGCTGCTGCCCACGCATATCTCGAGAAGGTCGTAGAAATCCTCGCACACACGTCTCCACAATTTAAACGGCAAATGGCACAGTACGGCGAGTAAGTGGTCTTAGGTTATGTTTCCTTCCCTTACTGACGTCTTTCAGCGGCCCATACGGCGGTGCATTCAGCACTGTTCGACCAGGCACAGCGATGCACTATTCAAGATACTTAGCGCGGCTCGTAGTCTTCGTTTTGCGTGCGCAGGAGCCCACCGACACCGTACACGTCGTACCTTTCTCCGAAGACCAGCGCATTGCCGGTGAACGTTTCCTGGACGCTCTCCGCTCAAAGTCCAATGAAGATCTTCCTCGACTCCTCCACACCCTCCTCTATGGTCTCGTCACGCAAACACCCGCCGATGCGAGCCTTGACTCGTTCATCTTCGCCATCACGAATTTTCAAGTCCTCAGCTGCTTCTCGTCCAAGAACGAGTTCTTACGTACGAACGACATACGGAGGCTGAACGCTCAGCTCATCTACATCATGCGCTCTGTGCTTTTCACGGAACTGGTGTCGCGTATGCAGGCCGATAACCTGCAGTTCTACCCGTACGTGTCCTTTCGTCCCATCTGGTCCGTCGACTCATGTCCGTTGCAGAGTCTACCACCAGCTCCGACCGTTCCTCATTGCGGAGGCGCAGACGCCGTTTGCGTATTCTGCCGCGGTGTCTGGCATCCTCCGTAGCATCGAGAGTCAAGATGACATGATGCCACAGTTTCAATGGAAGGATTTGGAGCGCAAGGTTATCTTGTTCCAAGACATCGAGTTCTCACACGCGTCGGTAGCCACCGTTGTTAGAGGTGCGATGGCCGAGTACGACACTCTGCTCTCGTCGAAGCTGCTGTGCGGCAATTCCAAGGACGACCCTGCGTTCAGGCTCCCCGGGGATATTTCCAAAATCCTCGACCAACCGCAAAACCACACGCCCGGTTTCTGCTTCTTCGATGACACTCGCAATGACCTCTCTCACCTCCAGCACGCCCTCCTTCGTCGTCTGGTCGAGCCGCACGGCGTATCCGGTCCCTTCCACTACGTCCATAACGATCGCTTAGTATGGGTAGCTGATACGTGCTTACAGTTCCTCCGCGATGCTCACGAGGCCGAGCAACGACTGTGCACCATGATTCACCTCTCTTACGGTCAACCCGCGCGAGGCGAGGAGCTCGCCTGCATGACTTATCGCAACATCCCTGCAGGCTCTGCTCGCGCTCTGTACGTCTTGCATGGTCTGCTCGTGCTTGTCGGGGGATACTGGAAGTGCGCAGAGCAGGTACGTCGCCACTCCCCGCTGCTATGCTGTCGTATTCACCATGTTTGATAGACCGGTCGCGACAAGGTTATCGCTCGTGCGCCCGCTCCCGATGTCGCTCAACGATTGCTCTTCCACCTCGCCGTCATACGTCCCGCCCAGCTCACTCTCGCCCAGATCTTCCTTCCGAAGGCCGATGCCGACAGATTCAAGTACTATCTTTTCCCCGGCCTGCACAAGACAACCACTGGCGAGGATGTCTCGGCGTATATCCGCTCGGACATGGAGATGCACCTCGGCGCTCCTATTGGCGTCCGCGACTACCGGCAGCTAGTGTCTGCCCTTACGAGGTGGAACCGCGACCCACACTTGCAAGCCCAGTCCGTACACGCCTACGAGCACCAGCGCGGACACGAAACAGCGACGTTCGACGCTAATTACGGTCTCAGCTCCGACATGCTCGGTGTTCCCAACCAAAAAGGCATCGTCATCGACCTGGCTGCCAGTACACATTGGCACCATGACACCGGGCTCGGTCCGAAATTTGTCCAGCAAGAATATCAGCTCGTCCCCGCTTCCGATGCAGCTGTCGTCCCGTCCTCGGCCTCTGCGACGCTCTCGGCAGCCGGTATCGCGGAGGTCCTTCAGGCCTACCTCGCGGAGCATCTCCCTCCCGCCATCGCCGCTACCCTGCTTCCAGGACTTGAACGGACTCTCGAGCGGTTCACGGCCGTCATCACCGCGGATCGTCCACGCTCGGTCGTGACAATCAGTCCTGCGTCTGCCGTTCAGTATCAAGTGCACGGTGATCGCCTCAGAGCGCTGCGACAGTTTTTGCTCAAACCGACGGCCTCGTTCACGACGCCCTTGCAGGGCCAGGCTCTTGGGGTCTACCTCGGCCGCAAAGTCAATATGCTGGCTTGCCTCCCTACAGGGCACGGCAAGTCTCTCCTATTCTTTCTCCCTGCGAAGATGTACGAAGCAGATCGTACGACCGTCGTCATTGTACCTTTGCATTCTCTTCATGCTGACTTTGCTCGTCGCGCACGCGGGCATGGCATTCGCTACCACCACTGGCAACCTGGACATGCTCTCGAGCTTTCCTTCGTACCTCTCGTCCTCGTATCACCAGAACACGCACGCAGTTCAGCTTTCCATGAGTTGCTCTCTCAGCTAAACTCTGTTCATCGCCTCCTTCGCGTCGTTCTGGATGAGGCACACCTCCTTCTAACTCATGCTTCCTTCAGGGAGTGCTTCAGTCAGCTCAGCCATGTCCGCCAGCACAAGTGTAACGGATATTCCCGTTACGGTATATCTTATCTCGCATGTTTGTTCTTGTTTGCTCGAGGGCTCGTATGGCGCGCCAGCGCACCTACGAGACCTCAGCCTTTTACCTCGTCACCGCCCATGTATGCATCCGTAGACAGTTCTCCTTGAATAGAGACTGGGTACAGCGCATACCGGGCACGACGAGTGAGGCGACCTTACACTTTTTTGCGCTCCTCCTCACTAGGACTTCTATTCTGGGGGATCTATTCTAGGCAACAACCTCGAAACTCGACTTCGACATATATCTACTCGACGTCAACAACTCTATGCTATCTGGATCACTCTAGTCGACGTCACTATTACTCAAGAATGGTTGAGTCGACGACCAACACTCCCGAGCATTCGCACAGCAGTCGCGAGTCGCGCCGCGAAAAGCGGCATGCGATTCGCGCGAAGCTCAGGGCTCGGGTGGCCGAAATACGGGCCACCCACAATATCCAAGCCGAGACTCTCGGTAGCCACCAGCAACTCAAGACTGCCGTGACTCCGAGATTCGACTTCGATGCCACCATTGAGCAGTCGAAGAGGGACCATGAGGATCTGATGAAACTCATGGACCAAACCTTCGACTGCTTACTGGAGCGGCATTCCAGGCGCCGCCATCGCGCGACCCGCCGGACTGAGTCCTCCGACCCCGAGGACTCAGCCGGAGCACTATCAGGGCAGGCACCATCCGACCATGAGGTCGAATGCACAGTACTCGCAGAACGGCTCGAGCCCAAGGTCGAGCTCGTTCAGAGCTGCCAGGAGAGCCTGGCCCCGCCTGCTCCAGCTGAGGCGCAGGAGCTAGGCAGCACTCCGAAGAATGGTACGCGCGTTGAGCCCGACAGCGCCGCCGCTGTCGAGTCCGCGTCTGAGCCTGGCAAGGAGCCGCGCACTGAGCAGATCGAGCCCGACATTGAGCCCGCTCAGAGCTACCCGGAGACTCCGTCTCCGTGTGCTCCCATTCAGTCGACCAAGCTCGGTACCACTCTCAAGAGTGGTGCACGCGCCAGGGTCGAGGACGCCACGGCCGCCGAGAACGAGCCCGCGCCCCAGTTGCACGACAAGGCGACTCGGTCCCGCGCCCGGGAAGGCATAGGGACACGACTTTATGTCGTGTCCCCGTATGTAGACGAGCTCCCGCTCGTAGACCCGCATGTCGCGTGCTCAGAAATGAGCCGTGACTCAAAAATATATTACTCGAGCCGGACGACGCGCCCGGCGACACTAGCCGTATCGCGCTCGACGCTCAGCGCGTCGAGCATCCCGAGCCCGCGCCGAGAGCGAGCACTCCCAGCGTTAGCGCTGGAAGTCCTCCTCTTGATGCTAACCGCCACCTCGATCCTCACTCTGGCAGCCACCGCCTGCGCGCAACCACACCTCAAATGTGTTGGCACTTCCCAACGGAAGTGCCAAACACGGACTGCCTTAGGACAGCTGAACCTTACCGGGTTCAGCTGAAGGATCGACCGGTCAGTACCGACCGCCATCTCGCGGTCGATACTCCCTCTGGCGACGACCAGTCGCGTGCGACCGCTGTCCAGGAAGATGTGCACTCCCTGCCGGAAGTGCAAGGCTCCGGACCTCTCGAGATGACTGAACCGCGGGCGGTTCAGCTGACAAGTCCGCGGCAAGACATCGACCGGTTCTACGAACAGGTCGATATTGCTCATCCTCAGGACAACCACGAACGCCCGGTCGGCGGGGCAGATACGCGCGCTGTCCCAAGGGACACGCAAACTCGCGTTCGCGGACGACTCGCTGAACTATCCCTAGTTCAGTTAGCGGCGCTCAACGACCTGGCACCTCACGGTACCAGACCGGCGGCTCCTCCTTCTACGGCCACTCTCCTTGACTCTCGCGACCCCGCTTCTGACTCGAGAAGCCCTGTTCTCGGCACTGGCACCCTCTGTTCGACTCTCGACGGTTCCGGCGACACGCAACAAAGCCGCGCGGCCCAGGACTCGCACGACGCGCGTGCAAGTCCAGCGCCGAGCAACAAGGTCGAGAAGAACGTACAGAACGGGGAGCGAACAGGAACCAGGGAGATTAGGAAGAGAGAGGAGGGGGAAGGGTACGGGGCGAGCAAGAAGAACGAGCACAGAGGCTCAATGAACGCAGGTACGCCGTGTTGAGCGTATCCCACTCGCCACCGCCTCCTTCTCCAGTGCCCGCGCCAGCACACGTATCGACGACCATAGAGGTCGTCGTGCGTGCCGCAGGCCATGAAGATGGCACTTGTGTGCCGCGGGACGACCGGATGGTCGTACGCCTTGCTCTGTTAGGCAGCACGGTCGCACTACGGGACGACCTCGCGATCGTACCGTATATTCCGCTAGGCGGCACGACGAACGCGTCGCAATACACGCCCGACGTGCCCCATCTAGCATTCACCAGCCGTCGCGTAGCGAGTACGCCGAGCCGTTCGCTCGACGTGCATGCTACCGGCCAGCAGCAAGGCTCGAAGCTCGAAGGTACGTCCGTACTGGACGTACCCAAATCTCGCCGGCTCCCTCTCCAGTGCCCGAGCCAGCACACGTCTCGACGACCGCAGGGTCCGCTGTAGGTGTAGCTGGCCGAGAAGACGGCATGGTTGTATTGCGGGACGACCTAAGGGTCGTGCCCTCCGCTATTCTTGAGGACGGAATGTCTGTTGTGCACACTACCGGCCACGATGATCGCACGAAAGCGATACGGGACGACCTGATGGTCGCCCTCTCCGACTTTCAAGGGAATACGCCTGTGATACGGGACGACCTCGCGGTCGTACCGTCTGTTCCGCAAGGCGACATGACGGACGAGCAGCATTGCTCATTCGACGTGTCCCAGTCATCTGTACACACTACCGGTGAGTACAGAGTGTCGAGAAGAAAAAGTACGCCCTCAGCGGACGTACTTACCTCGACATCTGCCATGCCTACGTTAGCGTGCGTAACGGCGAATGTAGAGCCTGTCGTGCGCAACGCCCGCGACTCGTCGGGCCACCGTCTCTTCATCTCCGCTCCATGATCACAAATGATCATGGAGACGACAGCACGTCCACAGCTCGGGACGACCTACAGGTTGTACCGGGATCCGTCATTATTCAAGGCGGAGTCGGGTACGCACGGCGTTCTGAGCAGCCTGAAATCGCCGTGGGGTCTGCTCAATGCCACCCGGAGGCATCATCCCAGGGTGTCCGTGCCCAAGCAACGAAGCCAGGCATCACCCCGAAGGATGATGCAGGCGCCGAGCTCGAGGACACGTCCGTCATCGAGCTCGCATCCGAGCTGAACGAGTGGTGCGTCGAGTCGACGCATCTCCGCGCTCGGGAGGGCATAGGTACACAGTACTTCAATAGCACTGTGTACAGCGGGAACGAACCCGCGTATGTAGATACAATCGTCGCGCGCTCAGAGATGAGCAGCGACACAAGATATATATTATTATTGTCGAACGAGGGGCGCGCCACGACGAGCAGCCTGCTCGGCGCGACACGCGACGCGCTCAACGCTACTGGCGTTGAGTGCCACGAGTCCGTGGCGAGTGTCCCGAGCGCTAGCGCCCACTGCGCTGCGCTGAGCCTCCACCGACCCCTCGTTCTCGACCCCTTCCACTCTCAGGGCAGCTACCACGAGCGCCCGTCTGGCGAACCAGACGAGCGCACCGTCCCAACGCGAGCGCGGACGCGCACTCACGACTGGCTGGCTGAACTGCCGCCAGCCCAGCTAGCGGCGCCCGACGACCTGGTACCTCGCGGTACCAGATCGCTACTTCCTCCCTCTTTGGCTCCTCACCTCACCCCTCTCGGCTCGCGCATTGACTCTGGCGACCACTACCGCGGCTCTGGTGGCACGAAACCCAGCCGCGCGACCCAGGACTTGAACACCGGCGTTCAAGCCCAGCGCCGAGCCGCAAGACCAAGCGGACCACGAGGAACGCGGATCGTGGAGGTTGCGAGGAGATCCCGAAGGAACGAGAAGGGTGCGAGGAAGGCACGAAGGGAGAGAGGGAGGAAGGGTGCGGAGCGAGTAGGGACAGCCAGCAGGAAAGCTCGCAATTCGCAGGTACGCCCTTACTGGACGTACCCGACTCGCCCCCGCCTGTGCCAGTAACCCCGCTAGCGTGCGTATCGACGAACACGGAGTTCGTCGGGCGTACCGCTGGCCGCGAGACCAGGACGACAGCACTAGGGGACGACCCGCGGGTCGTACCCTTGTCTGCGCATAACAGAACGACGGACGCGCAACACCGCACGTCCGACGTACCCCACCCTCCACTGCTTCCTCCTCCAGTGGCCGCGCCAGCACACGGATCGACAACCACAAAGGTCGTCGCGCGGGTTGTTGGCCATGAAGGCGGCGCACTACGGGACGACCTAATGGTCGTAACCCCCATTCCTCAAGACGGCAGGTCCGTGATACGGGACGACCTTGTGGTCGTACCGTCGATTCCGCAGGACGACACGTCCGATGTACTCGATCTACCCATCGCCGGCCGATGGATAGCGAGTACGCCGAGTTTGGTGCTTGACGTACACGCTGCGGACCAGCACGAAGAGTCGAGAGTTGAGGGTACTCCCCTGATGGACGTACCCGGGCCCACTCTGACACATCTCCACTTGCCCGTGCTCGTGCTAGCATACATAGCGACGAACGTGAAGTTTGTCGTACGCATGACTGGCCAAGAAGATGGCATGGTCGCGCTGTGGGACGACCCAAGGGTCGTACCTTCCGCACTACAAGGCGAGGCACTTGTGCTCGGGGACGACCTCGCGGTCGTACCCTCCAATTCGCATGGCGGCGCGACGGACATGCAGCGATGCATGCCCAACGTGTCCCACTCAATCTCGACTGCATATGGCGCGACGTCCGCGCCTCAAGACGGCCTGCACGTCCTTGCGGAAGTGCAGGCCTCCGACTGTCCCAACACAGCTGAACCTCTTTTGGGTCAGACGGCCAAGCCGTGGAACGTCCCGGACAACCTCTCCCGCGACGCACTCGACTCCGCAGGGCTTTTGGAAAGCCGATCGACGCGTAGGGCCTCCCTGCGAGAGGCTTCTCGTGCTCGTTGGCGAGCACAAGCAGCGCAAGTCCGCGCAGCTGAACCGCCCGCGGTTCAACTGGCAGACCCCCCGGATGGCTTCGCTTTCGACTTAACCCGCTCCAGCCGTCACCGACCGTGCGCGGCCGTATTCCAAGAGGACTTGCACTCCCCACAGGAAGTGCAAGCCCACGGCCTCTTCAAGACAGCTGAACTTTTCGCGGTTCAGCTAGGAAGCCCACGCTACGACCTCGACCGGATCGACAACGCAGCGGACCTCGCCCTCGACCCCTTGAGTGACCGCCACCCTATTCGCGACCCCGGCGCCCCTGCGAACGCGCAGTCCGACGCTCGGGTATTCCCAATGAACGCGCGAGCTCGAGATCGCGACTCGACTGCTGCACTACCAGTAGTGCAGCAGCCGGCGTTTACGGACCCCTACACGCCAGACCAGCCTCCCGACTGCCAACTCGGCGAGAATTTCACAGTTCTCGCCGAGGACTCGCTCCTACGGTGCCCTACCCCGATTCTTATCGACCTCCCTACGGCCTCCGACACCCATGGCGATTACGACAGGCGCCATGAATCGGCGACCCTGCATACACCCCGGAGATCGTGCAAGGAATGGGAGGACGGGCAGGACGGGAACGGAGGAGACGCGGGCGAGGGCACGGAAGCCGGAGAGTTAGACGAGGAAGGTCAGGCAGAAGGAGGAGAGGGGGAAGGGTGTGGTGTACGCGAAGCAGACGAGGATGTGAGCTCAAGAAGCAAAGGTACGTCCTTATTGGACGTACCCTCTTCACTCGCATCACCGCTCTCTACCCCACTACCACCACCCGTGATGACCACGACAACCAATGTGGTTGTCGTGGCAGTCACCCTGTACGACGGTGGTACGGATGGCCCACGGGACAACCCACAGACCATGACTGGCACGGACATGCTGTACAGTATGATCGGCGGGCGAGGGTGCTCGAACCGTGTATCCAACGTTCCTGCGGTTTGCACGCAGAGGTTGAATCCTTCGGTCACCGACTACGGCGAGGAGCTCGGTGGCGACTCGGTCAGCAAGTACCTCGCGGTACTCGTCCTATCACCATCATCCGAGATGTGGCGAGGAGAACTTCACAGTTCTCCGACCCCAATACAATCCTTGCCATCATCATTAGCTCGTTGCCAACATTGTCCTGTCGCCATCGGCACTCTGATTTGCATAACTCCATCGAGTTATGTATGACAATGGTGGACGGCTGTACTGCTCACTGACACGAAGTAGCTTGTCGTTGTCTACAGTACGGCACCACCTTTGTCTTGCCAGTCGCTACCACCGTTGGGTGGTTGCGTGTACTTTTCCTCTCATTCCCTCTTTCTTTTTCTTTTTTTGTTTGTTTCTCTGGTTATTGCTGGGACCCGTGGTCGTGTCCAGTGGGGGAGGGTGTAACGGATATTCCCGTTACGGTATATCTTATCTCGCATGTTTGTTCTTGTTTGCTCGAGGGCTCGTATGGCGCGCCAGCGCACCTACGAGACCTCAGCCTTTTACCTCGTCACCGCCCATGTATGCATCCGTAGACAGTTCTCCTTGAATAGAGACTGGGTACAGCGCATACCGGGCACGACGAGTGAGGCGACCTTACAACAAGATTCCCATCATATTCCTTACCGCTACACTTGCTCCCCACTGGGAATCCGCCCTCTTTGACAAACTTCGCGTTCACGACGTTGTCGTCTTCCGATTGCCGTCTGTAAGACCCGAGATCGCTATCCATCTGCTCACCTTCCCAACGCGAAATCAACTAGAAGAGACCCTCGAGAACAATTTCCTCTCCATCGTTCGGGAGCGTCGTGGTCTCATCTTCTGCAAGCGCGTTTCAGAGGTCAAACGGATCGCCAGCCTGTTGGACGTTCCAGCCTTCTACTCTTCCCTCGAGGACGACCGGAAAGCTGAGCTTCTGAAGGACTTCACCTCCGGCACTCACCGAGCACTCGTCTCCACCAGTACTCTCGGTGAAGGCATCGACATTCAGGGTCTTGGGTTCGTATGGCACTACGGCCTTCCCTTCGAACCAGCCAGCTATTCTCAGCAGGCTGGTCGCATGTGCCGAGACAACTCGTTTGGCACGAGCATGGTGTACCTGCTTGAGAACGAGCAACTCACCGTTCCTGAACCCGACATCCTTGGCGTCGCCGTCATGAACAGTTGGGCACGCGAAGACATATGCCGACGCATACGCATCTCGGAATTCTTGGACGGTGCTCCTACACAGTGCACCGTCCTGTCCAACCCGAATCTCTGTGACGTTTGCGAGAGGCAGGTCAACGCTGGTCCCATTCAGCCTCTCGTTGTGTACCCCGCGCCCATCCTTGCCGACCTTGACACGATGGAGTTTCCGAGATCTCTTGACTCTGAGACACTGCCTTACGACCGTGCAGAAGGACCTCTATCTCGGTACGCTCCGTTCCTCCTCCCCACTACGCTCATTTACTAATGTCACCTCACAGCCTGTCTCCCTCACCTCCTAGCCCGTCTCCCTTCTCTCACTCCGACAACGCTCAGGTTCCATTGCCCCGGTTCGAATCGCCACATGTTCCTTCCTCGTAAGTGCGCCTTTCGATTTTGTCAGTCCCTCGCTGACCTTGAATGCAGTAGTCAACGAGCCCTTCACGATGCGCCACAACCTTCCTACGTCGCACGACCGCACGCCGCAATCACAGCTGCACAGTCGAGGTACGTATTACAGTTCCCAGGCGCATGCGATCCTCGCTCATTCCCCGCCGCAGTTCCAGCCATATGCGGGTGCCAGACGTCTCAACGTAGGTATTTTAACGCCTCCTCGTGTGTTCATGCCACTGAACTCGACCTCAGGCCGCCGGACATGGAGCTTTACTTCAAGGCATTCTTTGTGCCGAAGGGTGTCGCTGTCTCGGCGACCTCTACACAAACTCTCGGTCGTCGTTCTCGTGAGGAGCAGGCGTTCGATTACTCACGTCCATCTCCGGATGCACGAGCCCTCCCCACGCCCGTGAGTAAGAGGCGTCGAGTGTCATTCGAACCTCCTAGCCCCGCGTCGCCTCTGCCTGACCGTCGCCGCGGGGCTGCATCCCTCACGGACGTTTTTAGTCCAATCGTTCCTCCGCCGGCTGCCAGCCAGCCAGGTTCATCTTCACGAGCCGTCGCTGGCAGCTCTCGCATGCCTCTCAACTCCCATCGCCGCTCGCTGCCAGGTGCTGAGGGACCCGATGTTGACGGTTCCCCTACCGCCGTCGGGCCGCGTGTAGCTCTCGATGCCGCACGGGCCGATGTGTTGAAAAAACAGCAGTCCATCATTGCTAAACACATCGACGACGCCCTCAACCTTGTCCGCGGGCGCTGTTCAAAGTGCTACGTCCTCGGTCGCTCCTACATGCACCGGTCGTGCACTGCGCAGTTCACGAGCGCCCGGGATGACGGCTGGCAAACGTTCAAGCGCGAGATGATGCTTCCGAATGGGTACTGCTTCAAATGCCTCCGACCTCAGGTACGTCTGAAATACCCCACACCGGCTTGGACCTCATGCGTTCATCGTCACAGAGCAACAAGGAATTCTTCGGTTGGCATGTCTTCGAAGCCCCTTCGGAATGCGTCTTCGGCGACATCATCAAGCCCGCCGTCTACGTTGTATGGGCAGACCCTGGCCTTCGCAGCGCCCTTTTCGCGGAGCGAATCCTGAACAACCGTCCGCGGACGGTCGAGGAATACATCGCAGCCTGCCTGGAGATGCACCCAACTTTTGACATGATGACATATCTCATCATCTTCGATTGGGCTTGCAAGCGTGTCGCAACCTAAGTAAGTCGTTCAACTCTTGCTTCTACCCACCCCGCTCAACGCTGCGCAGGATCCTCATCGCCGTCGACATTCCCTGGCGCTTCCGTGTGTACTTCTTCACATTTCCGTCTAGTTTGTCACATTTCCTTTTCGGTCGTTTCCCGAGTCTGCCACGAGCGTCGCGCAAGCGCTGTGGCTTGTTCTTTCACCATAACCGTCTTTTCATTGTCCTGCGTCCCCCTTCCCTCGCGCAACATGGAGCTCCTTCACAATACTTTACGTACACAAACCGGCCGTCTTGACCGTAAGCAGCTTTCGTTGCCGGTAGTTACTTACCAGCTAAGTTGTCGTAGAGCAATGGTACTTCACGGACGCGAAGTTTGCCGCCCGACTGGACGCTGAGCATTGGATCTCAACGCCTAACATGACGTGGATACCTACCGTTTCCCTCGATACGATCGAAGTACGTGCACGTCAGGATGGTTGGTACGGCCCGGCGGACCCTACACGCTGGCCACAGCTCTTCCACCCCAAGTACACGCACCTGTGCGTGCTCCCGAACCCACGCATGGGGTCTCCGAGCTTCCGATCTCAGTGCTCGACAACGTCGGTCCAGAGAGTTGGCGACCCAGCAACACCGTCGACGAGCACGGCAACCCCCTCGTCCTCCTCCATCCCGACCGACGTGTTGTCCTCGCAGCCGACCTCGAGTTTCTGCACATCCAGGTGTCCCAATTCATCGCAGAGGATGCGGCGAAATCCGACCGCCGCGGTCCAGAGAACATCCATGCCGCCCTCAAGAACTTCGCGCTCTCCGCTTCCGAGGCGGTTGAACGGATGCGCAGCATTCCCGTCACCTTACAACGCTTCCGGTGGGAGATGCGTGAGTATCAACGCTACTACGCCGAGGCCTCGGCGTACATGGATTTCGTCAACACGTTCAACGCTCGTATGGTCGACACGAAGGTCCACCAGACCGATTCAAGTCTCATGGGAGCCATCTCCGCTGACCCTGCAGTTGTGTCTCGGCTCTACCGCGCTGGGATTCCCGTCTGGTATATCCGTCGCTATTCGCAGCTCGTCCCCGAGCTCAAGATTCAGGAAGTCGTCGAGCCGTCTCTACCGCAGGAGCGCGGTGTCATGATCTTAGAATACGATCCTCCATACCCAACGCAATACGTTGGTCCGCCCGGCCTGGCGCACCTCTCAGCCGTCCACACCTTCGGCATGAGGGTCTACAGCGCTGGCATTCCTGATCCCGGCCCTGCGTCCACTGGTTCCCTCCGTCGTCCTCTCAATCCCGATTCGGCGACCTCGTCCTCTCGCGGCCCTTCCAAGAAGTCGAAGGCTGCCCACAAGGCACCTCCCCCGACTGGTACGTAGGGTTTACCTTCCTACTGTTTCTGTCCTAACCAGATTAACAGGTTCCACCCACACTCCTCCGACCCCGAAGGCGGGACGCGACCACTTTGTGGATGCCGACAGCTCGCTCATACCGCCTCCTATCACGCAGTGGTCGAAGGCCCTCGAGCGGGTCCAAAACGACCCTGCCCGTCTGTCTAAGGACCGTCTCCCGTCCGGACACTACTGTCCTAACCCGGCGACGTTCGCTACTGCGAACAGTCTCGCGCGGTTCTTGGAAACGTGGCTAACCATCCGTCCTGCGTGGCTTGCGCACATGCAGGACGCTGTTTACAGCGACGCCTTGGTTCCGTACAGCAAGCCAATCTGGAATGCGCTCCTAGTGATGACGGACGAACAGCGTCGAACTGCCGCCGCGGCAACTCCTACCTCCGCGGCGAAGTCAGCCAAGCATCGTGTAGAGGCGATGCAGGCGTTTGGTCGCTTCTTCCCCACCGACGACTTCGCTACGCCGTCCACGCTCCAATTCTTCGAGTTCACCGTCAAGACTCCCATCCGCGAGGTCGTACCGAGCTTGGCACGCAAGGTGGTGTGGGAGCTGTACGAGCTCTCGTTCCGCCTCGAACTTGCTGCGGTCGACTTCAAACTGACCCGCCAGGTTTCCACAGGCCGGTATGCCTGGACGCAGCGTCGCGCCGAGATCGCCAAATGCTTTCCGAATGGCTCACTCGTTCTCACTCAATACCCCGCGTCCAACGGAGGGCTGGCTTCTCTCCAGTCCGGAGTTCTCGCGGCGTACGTCGAGCACCTTCGCCGTGTCCTGGCGAAATGGCCGAACGCGTCGTCTCTCCAGCGTACGCTGCGCCCCGAGGACCACCCGAACCTCATACTGGAGGTCGAGCACGACGTGGTGTCGTTTTACTGTCAGGCGTTCTATGACTTGTGTGGGCGCGCTGCAGTAGTTCCCCATCGCCTCCCTGCGGACTAATCGTACATACTTTGTCGTACATCGCTACTCCCTACAACCTATCGTCCCTCACACAATTCCTATCTAGTGATACCGTCGTAGTCTTGCAGTAGCTCTGTACACGGATCTGCCTCGCATTTGTGTAGTATACGTCAGCTTGGTTCGCAGCATTCTCCACGCAAGAATTCATACCTTTCCGGGCAGCAGCCGAATGAAAGTCTCAACGCTGGCTGTAATCTAGCCACCCCCCCCCCCCACCCCGGGCGAGCGTCCCACGGAGTGGTACGACCGACTGCGAATGCTGTCTGCAGCCGTTTGGTCGGACGCTTTACCTGCTCAAGCACCGTCCACCTGGCATGTAGCTCATGCGCACAGATAATGTCAAGGTGTGCTAGCCTGCTCTGCCGTGTCTCGCGCCCTTTCGCGCGACGTCGCTGGGTCTAACCGAGGCCCTATGGTGCGTGCGTCAGGGCGCGGACAACGTCGCAGTTATCCCTGTTTGTCCTTTACTGACTACTCATTGACAGGTTGCATACGTACTGTAGCCATGTTGTTCCGTATAGTAAGTCTACTTGCGCGGTACTCCTCCGGTGCTCATTCCGTTTGGTAAACACGCTCGTCAATCACTATGTGGGGACCGGTATTAGCCCGCGACGCTGCAGCCCTACCGGACTTCGCGTCATCCTTCCATACGTGGACGACGTCAGCTTCCGTCATCCGTTCCTCGCCCCCATTCCATATAAATACTGCCTCTTCGCCTCTCTCCTTCCCTCGTGCCCCTCAAACCATGTCTCTTTCTCAACCGCCTTCGGATGGTGGGTTGTTTACGTTCTCTGCAGTCGTGTTGGCTTACACTGACCCTTCTTCACCCTCTTCCCAGATTACTTCCAGTTCTACAGTACGTCTATCGCTGGTTGTATGCGCTGTGTCCTACTGACTGCTTCCTTTAGGCGACGATCCGGTGCTGCTAGAAGCAGCGGAGCAGTTCGATCCTTCGGGCAAGACATCGGGCGCCCCAACCTCGCCAGCATTGGCCGCTAGCGACCCCGATGTCAAACCAAGCTCGCCGGATCCATCTCCAACTCCTCGGCCCGGTACGATCGGTGGGTCTCCCCGTTCCAAAGACGCAGCAAGCGGCGCCCGCGACAAGATCGCCCCAATTGGTAGGTCTTCTATGTCGCAGTGACGTAGTCTCATTCCTTCTACGTAGACGCCACGGACGTCGTTGTCAACCCCGGTCCCCCGGCGGCGGAGGGCTTGTCAGCAAGAGTCCCAAAGCGGCCGACGAGGGTGTGGAAGATGACACGACCAGCCCACTGAGTGGGACATCACGCCGGCGAAGGCTCTCCCGTTTGAAGACGTAGGATTCCCTGGCTTCCATCCTGTACTCCTACCCTGACACACACGCAGGCAGTCTTGTCGCATGGTTTGCGACCTGTCACTCTCGAAGCTCTGTCCCGCGCTCAAATCTTCGGGGAATCGTTGGAAGGGCCTACTTGGTGGCTGGATGGCGAACTGTTTGACAAGGTACGCGCCACGCCTTGAATTGATCTTTGACGTGTGTGACGTCCTTTGCAGTTCGTTCTTGTCGTCAGAGTCAAACGCTGGACTTACGCCGACGGCTCCATCCACGCGGTCATCGTGGACGACACCCGTCTCTTCCGTGCGATGTGGGATGACGACACTCTCCTCCCAGCGTTGACTGACCCAGTTCCGAAGTACGTCGTACGTCCCGCCTGTAGTGCTTCCCTCACCGTGAATAGGGTCGGCGATCTGGTGATGCTCACCGCCCGTATCGGTTTCGGTCCACCCGGCGCCGGTTATCCCTACGCTTCGCATTACACCGCCCAGCATTTCCTTCACGTCGTCATGTTGTACGTTCAGATTCTTTCGCCCAGATCCGATGCCGCTCGTATTACCTCCGACCTTCAAGCGTACGAGCACATCACCGGCGTATTTGACATCTCCACCGCTTGCGCCGCAGAAACGGTTAGTTCGATCGTCCCATCTTCTCCGGAACCATTTA